CTGTATCTTGAGACAATGAACCAAACTGCTGAAACTTTAATGTTTGTGCCACCAATAATCAGCTTTCTGAAAAAAATAAAACTACAAAAAACTGAGAAGCATTGTGGTGAGTCAAAGGTAACGACTGAAGAAATCAATGTGACTCAAGACAAGAGGAAATTACACGTCTTAGTCAGGCAGTTTTCAATTCCCCTGCCCCAGAAAATAGTGAAGATTCCAGTGTATGGTGACATAATGACACACGGTACCATTATAAGATTTTCTAGTGTTTTCTTTTACCCAATTTAGAAACAAATATTCCAGTATGACTAGATGAATGCACAAGGTTTGAAAGTAGCTTCTTAATTGTAGGAGAAATGAAAACTTGGCAGTATACGCACAGGACTTCACACCAATAGGTCTGCTCTTTAACACCATGGCTGCATAGATTGTGTGGTGAATTCAAAGCAAAGCACTAAGAGCTAAAATGAATGTAATAAACACAGAAGACATGCTAGCATCATGTATTTATGTAGACAAAACACAGAACCTGAGATAACATTCCCAGTATCCACAACCGGGGAAAGAAAAAAAAAAAATCTTTGATTATTTGGAATAAGAATATTTCAGTCCATCAGCATTTCATCAAGATGCTAAAACTAGGAGATGTTAGTCAAAAGATCAAAATAGTCAACTTTCAGTTCACATGCAAACAGAACTATCAGAGGCTAAATTATGGAGGAAACCTCTCCTCTGTAACACCCTCTGCCGGAAGTGCATAAAAATCCACCCGATACATGTGACATTTGCCTGACAGAACAAAACTAAAAATGACAAGGGTCTTTTTTTTCCTTTTTAGCTTATGTAGCAGGTATTTGGGGAAAAAGGGTAAAAAACAGACATCACTACACATACATATACAACCAAGTACAAAAGTGAGTATAAAAATAAGAATTGCGACTCAAAAGTAGTAGTTCAACTTGTGCAAACATGTCTGCGAGAAAATAAAACTATATGATCGTTAACTTGTCAGCTTGGCAGAACAAAATGATCAGGGAAACTGAGGACGACAAGTCTAAACCACTAAAACTGGTTAGGTAGTCAACTAGGCAGTGAAACCTCAAAACTAAAACGTACCATCAGGCACAGATCTAGAACGTCAATAAACAACATGCAACCCTTTTTTGCAAGTAAACAAGACATTTTAAAAAAAGTACTACTCGTAAAGCAAGAATGCATGTGATGAAGCCATTAGGTGCTGACGCTACCTGAACTTCTACATCTACAAAATTCCCTTTACAACAACCAAAATGTCATTTCATGTTGTCCTTTAAATCAGGTAAAAACAAAGTACCCACTGATTTGTCACGCTTCGTACACTAGTGACTGGTGCAAGGAAATAAGTGAACAGCAGATAAATATCTTTGATAAGATGAAAAAAATAATTAAACAGATGCAGTTTAAAAATAAGGAACAGTATCAACAAAGTTACTGTTGTGGCGTCTTTGAGGAAATAACTGTGCAGGAAGTGAGCAGTCAGTCAAACAAATCAAGTGAAAGTTTACAGAAAAATAAGTGAGCAGTGCTGCTGTAAGACAGCACAGTGTCTCAATTATTTTTGGCTAAGACAAATGTAAATATCTTTGGGTAATAACAGAACTAAATTTGTTTAGTTTAGAAGTGTTGCAATAAGGAAACTCAGAGCACTCTCCTTGGCATTCTGACTCATTTTCTCAATAACCTTCAACATCAAGCCCTTTTCAGACATCCAGTGGTTTCCTTTAATCTCGCTGCATCTGAAAGTCTCAGATTTGCTAACATTTATCCATCACTTTCAACATGACGAGTGAATACCTGATTACAATGGCTCGCATGCATTTTTTTTTTGCTGATCAGCTCACTACAGAGCATCCTAGATAACAACAAGCAGCACATAAACAGCACTTTATCCGTTACTAGTTTGTATAAACACTCAATTATTCCTCCCATAAGCATTTTTTGCTATGCCTAATTCAAAAGCAGCTCTCTGCAGCAGTGTTGTGTTGTAGGGGAAGCTCCAGCAGCACAAACAGATGACCCATTTGTGGTTGTGCAAGATTTAAGCCTTTAAAACTATGATTGCTCTCAACTAGAGTTGATGCTGGAAATATAAATTCAAGTCTTTTGCAGGGGTGCACAAGTCTCAATGAAGCTCTAATGAACATTAGTGATGCCATCGCATGGCTGAAAAGGGCAACAATGTTATTTGTTTGTACCTGTGTGGCAAAAGAATGAGCTAAGATTTAAAAAAGAAAAAAGAAATCTAGACATCTGTCCCAGACCACTCTGTTCATTTCCAAATAAACGACCTGGAGCCGTTTTTATAAAGCTAGCCCCTCTCCAGAACTTTCTCCCATCACAGTGGTGGCTGCAGGAGGATCTGGACGAACAGCCCAGGTGTTAGAGGAGACCATCTGACAGGAGCTTGTTCCCTGGTTCAAGCAGTTGCTTGCTGGAGAGCCAAAGCTTCTGAAAAACATGTCCATGGAGGGGAGCAGGGGCTTAGGGAGGCTGACTGGGCAAAAGGCTGAACCCCCATAGGGGGTGAAGTTTACCTTGTTGGGGTCGGGGCAGGAGGAGATGAGGGCCATCGTGGGTTTCTGTGGAGAGCTAAAGAAGAAAAGGAGAAGAAAAACTTATGTCCATAAAAGTGATGCAAAAAGTTTGGTTACATTCAGTGCACACAGTCAGATTTCTTACATTTAGTTCAGCAGCATTTCTTTATCGTGTGGAAAAATTGAGACATAATGTTGACTCTGCACTTCTTTTTTTAAATGTTAAGATATCTCTGGGATTAAATGTGGTTAAACTTCTTTTCACTGACAGAAAGGGAAGTTTCACTGGTCCAGCAAACTTAAGATCAGAGTGACTTGTATGCAGCTCACAATGTAAAATGAGTTTGACATCCCTGATCTTTGTAGTCGCTGCTTGTGCTTACATGTCAACATGCACGAGGCTTTACTCAAGCCAAAATTTTCCCCTAGAAGTCACGGACCCACCAGAAAAGAAAAACTAAAATACCAGGCAACAGAGTTTTGTAATTGTTGATTCCTTTTAATGAGTAACGACTAGTAATTTCACACAGTAAGATTCAGACCAAGTTAAAAACAAGGAGGACTTCGAATGCTTTAGTGCTGACAACATGAAGTGTTGCAACATCATCAACTTGTCGGTTTGGCAGAACAAAACTCCCAAGCTGAACAAACAAACTGCTTTGAGGGGGGACTGTTCGTACATCTACAGTTAATGCCACTAACTCACTCTAACAGAGTACAAGGTAAACTGACTCAACTAAAAACTATGACGTCATGCAGGAAATCACATTCAACTTTGGGTAAAGACACTGAATTAGTTTGTTTTTCTAGTGTTTATTTTTTTTAAATGTGACCACCAGAGGGCATCTACATGCTGACCGTGTTAAATGACAGGGAGTATACAGTATTTGTCTAATTATATTTCATTATCCAGAGGTGATTCATCTGTCTCCCTCTAGCATGCAAACAAAGCAAAATGAATAAAAACCTACCTGATCTCCTCCCACACTCTCACCCTTTCACAGCCCTCTGGAGGTTTTCTCTGGAAGCAGCAGCTTTTGTTGGGCCCGGGAGATGAGGCGTTCAGGAGAGGAGAAAGGTCAGCCTCATTCTGGGAGGGGAACGGAGACAGAAGCCCACTGTCTGTTGAGCCTGAAAATAGGAGAGAAAACATATTTGTGAGAATGATATACATATACACACACACACACGCACATATACGTACACGTACACACACACACACGATTTGAATGTTCTGAGGGGCAGAAACAGTTTACTCACTTCTTATCAACCTCACCCCCTTAACATTGTCTTGTCATTTTCTCTCAAACTGTCTTCAGCTTGGTTTCTGGCTATGACTGATCGACATTATGAAGTTTTCAGCTAGAGCCCATCCTTTCCAAGCCTAGATACACTGTGTTATGTCTGAAGTCCTTTCTGGACTCAAAGGCTCGTGCAGACAATGTGGTGATGATCATCAAGTAATAATTTGCTGGCACGCAGTACATTACAAACACAGGATTTTGGGGGGGATGGGACAGACTCCCTAACAATCACTTAGGCATTTATTGATAGGGTTTCACTTCACCCATGTTCCCCAAATTGAGATTCAATTTGAAGAATAAACAAAAGGACTGAAAAGAAATTAAAACCTTAATAGCAGTTTGCATTCTTTTGACATTTAGAAATCAATTTATAAATTTCCTGATGCACAACTAAAGGAAGTCAAATTTCAAGGTCTCAGCTAGAGATGCCACCTAATTCATATGTTCCTTGCCAAGTCCATGATCAATGTCAGAAAGAACCTATAAAGAAATTATAAGTGAGAGGGAAACTGTTACTATAAACTAAGACAACTACAACTCTTTAGTCCATCAAGCCAACACCAAAAAAACCAACTTCCATGGTGAATATAAAGAACACATGTCATGCCATATTTGCATTTTGCAGACATATTTTTGGCAGAGCTGAATTGCGTTACTGAAACCACCACAAAGTTATACATCAGTGCTGCAATTTTATGTCTACATGCGTCTGCTAGAAATACACTTACCAGACACTTTTTAAAAACACACAGTTTAACTGCTCATCAATGCAGTTATCTAATCAGCAAATCTCAAGGCAGCAGCTCAGTGCATTTAGGCAAGATGACCTGCTGACGTTCAAACAGCAGAATGAGAAACAAAGTTGAGTTTAAGTGACTTTAATGTGGCAGGGTTGTTCTAGCTGGACGGGTTGGTCTGAGTAATTTGAAAACTGTTGATTTATTGAAATTTCCTACAGAACCATCTGTAGAGTTTACAAAGAATGGTCTGAAAATGAGAAAACAACCAGTGATTAGAGGTTCTTTGGGGTAAAACACCTCAATATCAGGAGAACGGTCAAGACTGGTTTGAGAACATAGCAAGGCAAAAGTAACTCAAGCAACCAAAGTATGCAGAAGAACATTTCTGAATGCACAACATGTTAGAGTGGAGCTACAACAGCAGAAGGCCACACCGGGTGCCACTCCTGGCAGCTAAGAACAGTAAAACTGAGGCTACACCTCACACAGCCTCACCAGAAATGGACAATAAATGATTTTTTTTTTTTTATTATTATTATTTTTTTTAAACCCAACAAAACCTTGCCAGGTTTGAAGAGTCTCAATTCAGATGGCAGGGTGTGTATCCATTGCATGTATGATGTAACAACATGCCGGTTGGTGTAGGGGGAATATTTCTGTGGCACACTTTGGATCGCTTGGTATCAACTGAGCATTGTTTAAATACCACAGACTACCCAACTACTGCTCATGACCATTTTCAGCTCTTAAATACCAGTGTGAGGAATGTTTCCAGCACCTCACTGAATTTATGCCATGAACAATTAAGGTAATTAATACCTAATACCTACCTAATACCTAATAAAGTGGTCCGCAAATCAATACTTTCACGTTTGTTCTCACCATTATAAAAGTCTAAATTCTTATCTAAAATGTCTGACAAACTAACCTTGGTGCAGGTCTGGAGGAGCATCTGAGTTGGGCTGAGAGGTGCAGATGTAGTTGGGAGAGGAGCAGGGTGAGGAGGAGGTGGAGGATGTCGATGGCGGGGGCGTGGTGGGGGGGTCGCTCTGAGATCCACTGCTGCAGCTCTGCAGAGGCACCGGAGCTCGATGACCATCTGGAACCTCGAGCAGCTGTCGAGACAGGAAACTGCACGTTTTAGAACGTTTAATTAAACGAAAATCAGCCAACGCAGAAGTTTTACTTCAGCAGAAAACTACATGTGCCACCTCTGAAACCCGCCTTTCTTTGCAAATAAAACAATGCCTAAACATCTTCACATGTCCATGTTGTGTAAACAAGCATGTGTGGGCTCTGTAGGTGATAATTACCCTCTGTAATGGATGTAGTGACTGGCTGATGAACATGCCTTCCAGCTCCTGGTTGAGGCCCTCCACGCTGCAGCGCAGGGGAGGGACCAGTGTAGACAGGGGAGCAGGGGGGATGGGAATAGGCTGAGTCTGAGCACATAAACAAGTGAACACAATTTTATTGCACTACTCCTAAGAGCCAAACACCAGGACGTTTTTTTTTTTTTAAAGAGTTCCCTTCAGCTTCTTTTATTTCCATATTTTCCAAAAACATCAGGCTAAATGTACATTTTTTTTAAATTGTTACCATTAAAAATACAACAACAAAAAAGCAACAAAGAAAACTGAAACTTTCTTACTTTTTGAGAGCACACAGGCATTCAAAAAGTCATTTGCTTCAGACATCTCAAAAATCCAGCAAGCTCAATGCTGATAATCAAACTAACAAGTGTTTTCATAAACTGCATG